ATACTTTAACCCCTAATATGTTGAGCTAATGGTGGAACGTTACCAAAATTTCGTCTGGTGAAGCGATTTAAATTAAGATATTATTAAGTACTTGGATTTATTTAGTTAGTTTAGATTTGTTTAATTAATAAGTCGTTAATAATAATTAATAAGTTGTGTAATATTTGTATATAAAAGTACGAGTGTGTGCGTTATTATTAATTATTATGAGTGTAATTTACTGTAAATAACCAGTATAAAATTTTTGTGCAAATTGTAAATAGTAAATTGTTAAAGTATGAAGGGAAGCTCATTGATTTATCGTCTATAACCTGTAACCACCATATTATGTTAGGTATAGTAACAAAGCAAATGAAGTCGGTCGTAACAGAGGTGAAAGCGTGGGAGCGTTTAAGTGAAAAGCTTTTACAAGCATGCTTTTCAAACGCACGTTTTAACGTTAATAAAATAAGCAGTTTTTTCTATTTCAACGGTTAACAACTACAAAAGTTACAACTTATGTTTTTAAACGCCAATCAACAAAATGTTAATATAATAATGGTATGTCTTAATTAAAAATATAACTCGTTTTTTATAAAAAAACTTACTTATCTTAAAACCTTTAGTAGTCTACTCTTGCGTTTCGCTATAAACACAACAACGTTGTAAGCTTTTTTTAAGATAAAAGTCTATGCGCTTTAACGTTTTCTAAACGGTTTTGTTAGCTTCAAACTAAAAGGCGTTTAATAACAATTTACGTACAGTGGTTTGTAAGTGTACATGTGACACCCTGTAAGGGCAAAGCAAAGTAGAAAGGGCACTCACTTATTATTAATTTTGTCTGTCGTATGATGACAACAAAATGTAAGAATCATGCAAATAAACTCATAATTGTTTATTCGATATGTATTCCCACGTAGATAGTTATGCCAAGCGTTTATTCATACAAGGTCGTATTCCAGAACTCTACTCAATGCTCAAGTCTGGATTTGAGTATGATTTAAAGCACTAGAAATCATACTCCAGGCCTTGCCATTAGGGTTGTATTTCCAGTGCTTGAAATCATACTCAAGTCCTGACTTGAGCATTGAGTAGGGTTCTGGAATACGATCCATTGAGCTATATGAATAAAGACCGAATGAAGCAAATCGCGTCGCACTGGTGGGGATGCAACCCGACGACCTGACTCGTTATACATCCATATCGATCAAAAACTGACTTTTCATTTTTTAATTCATTGTAATTAACGATATTTAGTAACGAACCAATTTATTATTTTAGTTTTATTATTCTTAATAAAACAATTATTTAGTTTAATAAAGTATTAGTATTATAGCAATAAATTATTCACACTCCTGCTTAAAAGCGTTTGTGTTTATATAACAAATAAAAATAAAATAATAATATAACGAATAAACAAAAAGGACAGCCAGAGGTTGTTCATCCCCGAAACATTTCCAATGGGATAACAAATCTTACCATAGGAAATACTTTTTTTGAGATTATCTTATTAAACATGGTGTTATAAGTAAAAAATACTATTTGACGATATTTTGTTTGTACTACATGCACACAATTTAAAAACAATATAAAACATCTAGCCTTAATTTTTAGCCCTTTTCACTGGTCCACTATTCGCGGAATATTTTTTTGTAATGGCATCACCTTTTTTTACATTTTTTGGACTTCGATTTCATCTCAGAGTTTAGGCGGAATGTTGATGCCCTTTATAGGCGCATTTCTTTATTATATAAATCTTTTCACGATTCTGCACATTGCACTAAATTTTGCAATTGAATATGTATCCGTAGACTTAACATTATGACTTTTAACCTTCATTATCTGAAGGTATAGATGCAAATTCAAAATTAGGGCTTCTCACTACTCAATATTTCTTATGCTAGTTTAACGTCAGCTTGTGGTAGCTGTAAATGTACCAGCTGAGTGAGAAGGTTCATAAATCTCTCACAAGATGTCGCTTACGGTGTTGAAAGCAAAAAAAAACCCAACGCAAAGATCTACAATAGACAGAAGAATTTCGTCGACCTGTAGATCAGATGGCAGAGCGACGCGCCACGCTTGGGTACAGCGGCAGCGTGGTCGCAGGTTCAAGTCCTGTCAGGGTGAAGGAATTTTTATGCGTTCGATATTTGTATTAATAATTATAACTAGTTTCAAATTTTTCGAATATACGCATGTAGCGTATGGTCTAAATACAATGTCACCAATACCGGCACCATTATAATTGTCGTTCTACTACGGATAAAACGACTTCGTACAGGATCAAGAGCACGTCAAGCTTTACACTTAAGAGTTAAATCCAACTTTATGCCGCTTACGATAAGAACGGTTCAAAGTACCAAATGTCAAGCTTGATATGCTCCTGACTGTACTAACGAGTATATTTATTTCTTTTTCCATCCCCTAAGATTTATTTTGACTCTTTTTTACTTATATTATTTTGTTTTATATTAATATTGTTGTTTATATTAGGGATAATCATTTATCCCTTGACATTTCACTTTAAATTTCAATATTGTGACATTGATAATATGAAAGAAATAAATTTATTCTATTCTATTCGTCAAATATCACAAAAGTTTTCATTTTACAAGTAAATTTTAGAACAAATTATCAAAAACAACGAAAAAATCGATAAATGTTGGTTGACACGTGTGCTTATCAGCATACACTAGCTTAAATTGCATTCTTATGCATGTTTTTCCAACATAATCCAAATTGTTATGGTAAGAAATAAATAAAACATGAATGAAATAATGAAAGAAAATGGTAATATAAATAAAATTATTTATGTATATTATATTAACTTCTACTAGGATTATTTAAAAAATGTTACATTAAGGTTACACAACAAAGCAATCGATAGCTTTAGGCAGTAAATACCAACACATTTTCTTTGCTACAAAAACAGACGCACATAATTACTAGTAAGATTACACTAAAGATAGGAACAAATTATAAAATTAATGAGACCTTAGGGCCAGCACAGCAGGGGGCTTCTTGCGCGAGAGCAACTTAGAGCACAAGAGCAACTAAGAGCGGGAGAGCGACTTAGAGCGCGAGATCTGTATGTGAGAATAGCAGTATCTCGCGCTTTATGTCGCTCTCCTGCAAGTCGCGCCCTGTCGTGCTAGCCCTACTGAGTATTTTTACCCATAGGTTATCACAAAATAAAATCAGTTATATCCCCTAATTTGCTAAAATTAGGTAGGTATTGGCAGAATAGTGTAAAACTAAGACTATTACATTTTACTAGACATTAGTAAAAAATAACATTATAAGGTCCTGTCTAAATTACCTACAATTATTCACTAATAACTTTAATACTATTATTAGTTTTCCATGAGAGATATGTGTTCCAAAATAAAGCTACAAATTGTACTAATAATACCTGGTATTGTAGAGGTATATAATAAAAGTTTACCAGCTGTACCCATGGCCAAATGTAATAATTTGTTTTTAAAACATCAAAGTAATTTTCCCCAACATTGTTTTTTATAGTTTCCAGGTTTTTACCGTTCATAACATCAACTGTAGTCAGAAGAAAAAATAGAAATGTTGGTGCAAATACAAATTGATCAAGAAATACTTTTTTTAAAGCCGTGCTTTTGCCACTTGAGCCTAGATGTTGATTCAGTTTGCCGTACCAGAATCGTAAAGCGGGACCCTAAAACAAACAAACAATTTGAATAATTTTATTTACATAAAAAGAGACCAATGATGAAACATCATGATCAACATGACAACCTCGGTGGCCAAATCGTTTACACTGTAGATGCTAGATGACGGAAGTCCCGGGTTCGAGTCTCAGTAGGATCAAATCAGGAAATTAACTTTTCTAAATTGGTTCTGGTCTGAGTATTCTGGGTAATGCCCCAGAGTGCATTCCATTGCTATGGCACTCATAGTACAGGGAATTCCCTAGTTTGAGACCAAGTTTCTCAAAATATTTGTACATTTACAATAAAAAGGGTCTGCCCCGAAACAGTAGAAAAAATACGTGTTTTTATTCAATCATACAAAAATAAATAGGAAAATTTTAAAGAATAAACATTATTTTTTAATACTAAGAAGAGTGAAAAGTGTAATTTTATTATTTCAACTTTTTTAGTTTTTTACTTTTCATACAAAAATAAAATTGCCACCCCCTGACCTCAATTGTTTGTCACTTCATAAAATATGAAATGTCACATTAATAAAGTGCATGTTTTTGTATTACAGACCTTGATTGAATTAGTTTCTGTATTAAAGTAATTGGATATGTGGTTTCATAGTAAAAATTTAAGCAATATGCCTAAATTAACTGAGTCATACCGATTTACTTTTTTTGCATTAAACCACATCCATTTTTTAAAAATTAGTAAAGTAATTTAGTGAATGTGGAAATTAACCAATTTCCATTCACTAAATTACTAAACTCATCCGATAGTTTTTTGCATGGGCACCACTAGAATCATCCTTATTGGCTGTTGGTTTGGCGTACTCTGCCATATTTTTCATAACAATCAGTCCAAACGTGATGGTCAATATTTTTGTGATGTTAATAGTAAAGAACTTTTTCATGATAAGGTGAGTCTTGATTTATTTATCCCTTCATAATACATGTAAATTAAAAGTTTAATAAGCGTATTACATTTGTAATATCAGGTTATAACAAACCATTGGCAGTTAAAAACTCAGTTAGGATCATGTTTGTACTAGTATTTCATAACATTATTATGCATTTCGTTATATAACTGAATAAAGTTGAATGTACACTGTTATTACTCGATTTCAACAATGCAAAAAAGAATGAGTTTGGCAGTAGGCAGATATGTCAATAAATTATATATTTTGCCAATGCAGAATAAGCTTAACGTTAAATGTTTTTGTAGTGTTTTGTAACAAGCTTTTCATTACGTACAATTATTTTGAGAAATAGTCGTCAACAAAATAATCTCAACAGAAGCAAAAAATTAGTATGAACAGATAAAAATTCTTCTGTAGAATTAAGGTTTTAGGTTTCGATGCGAGGTCAGCGGTAACTGGTAACGCACTCTTAGGATCGTATTCCAGAACTCTACTCAATGCTCAAGTCAGGATCTGAGTATGATTTCAAGCACTGGAGATACGACTTGGCAGGGACTTAAGTATGATTTCGAATGCTTTAAACCATACTCAAATCCTGACTTGAGCATTGAATAGAGTTCTAGAATACGACTCTTAGACAAAAAAAAAACAATCGAAATAGATACACACACATTATTTAAATAAGCTCGTGGCAACAAGTGTCAAGTATGCCCACTTGAACAATGTAGCGCGAGATTAATATATAGGGAAAGACTACTTACTCCGACAAATAATCCAATGGAGGAAAACTTGATTGTTCTCATATAGTCCACATGTTTTAGTTGTTTCTTTTCAATGAGAGTCTGAGATATCAAATCACCTGCACCCATCAAAGCGCCGGCTTGGATCGCTTGGATCAAATACGGCCGTCGAACAAGAGCTTGTTGATATAATTTAAAAACCCCCCGAGTTTTCATTATTAACAAATGCATTATAGAAGTTACGTTCATTGTCCATTTAAAAGACTGTTAATAATAGTCAGCTATTTACGAACCTTATTTTGTAAGCACGTTATTTCGATATACGGCAAATTAAATAATATAATCCATAATTTGAAGAAACGGACAGTCACGACAGTAAACAAAGTCACAACCAAAGAGGATTATTATTATAGAGGAATTATATTATATTGGTTTGTGCAAACCCCTAAACAAAGTGCTATTCATTCATAGAGCATAGAATCAGTGTTGTCAGACTTTTGCAAAGTTAATTCACCAATATAATGTATGTTAGGTAGCCGATATTCGTCCAAGTCACAAAATACCTAAAAAGAAAAACAGAAAGACAAATTGGGGATTATGAACTTTCTTATTATCCCCAATTCCCCACACGTAGAAATAGTGAAACCCCGAAATGAGTTAGCTTACAACTCCATTCCTCACAAAATTCCCAATAAAATTTGTAATTCCCCAGACATTTTATTAAGTAACCTAAAATCGCCTTTTCCTATTTCAAACATAGCCTAAATATCGCCAAGTCGCCGATCACTTTTTAGTCGCCGCGCGACCCCTCCAAGTAGGTTAAATGGCGCCTAATCTAGCAACAGTGTATGTATGACTTATTTTAAACGAATGAGTAACATGGAAAATTTAAAGAACTAATTCTCAGTACTAATTCTTATTTACTTCCGGTTCTAATGCAGACTGCAATGAAAATCGCCACTAAATAAATCTTGTAATGGTATTTTCTAACTTTGCTTATAAATAAATAATAAAAAGATATACTATGCTACGAGAGAGAAATAGTTATAGCGCTTTAAACCATTCAGTAATGGTAACACTGATTTTAAATTGTCTTTGGTTTATGTCTTGCTTGCCATTATTGTAGTCTAAAGAAATTCGATTAACTCGTATTGTGGTCATTTATAGTTATTGCTGTTAATTTTATCTATTTATAGAAGCAAATAATTATCATGGATAAAAGGAAACTATCAACAGCCGGAGATAGTCTTTACCAAATACTCCAAGTTCCAAAAACCGCGACACCAGATGATGTCAAGAAAAGCTATCGAAAATTGGCGTTAAAGTATCATCCAGATAAAAATCCGAACAATCCAGACGCCGCTGAGAAATTCAAAGAAGTAAACCGTGCTCACACAATCCTCAGCGACGCCACTAAACGGAACATTTACGACAATTACGGTTCCCTCGGTCTGTATATATCAGAGCAATTTGGAGAAGAAAACGTCAACGCCTACTTCGTAGTGACGAGTGCTTGGTGTAAGGCGTTGGTCATCGTGTGTGGTATTCTCACCGGGTGTTACTGCTGTTGCTGCCTGTGCTGCTGCTGCAACTGCTGCTGCGGCAAGTGTAAGCCGCGCCCACCGGAGGAGTCCGGCGATTACCACACACTGGAGCGGGATGATTCTGACGGCGTGAACCCGACAGTGACCACGCAGCCGGGCGGCGAAGGCCGGCCTGTAGGAGAGCATGCTCCCCCCGTGGCCATGCCAATGCCGCCGCCACCAACAGGAGCAGGGGCCTCGGAAAATACAGGCCTGAATACAGGTGGGGTCAATTATGGAATTTCACATTAACATTATATAATGTAGATTACCCAATTCAATGTCACAATTTATTTATTGACAAAGGATTTTGTAAGTAAAGTATTATATTATTCCTGCCACCCTTGCTTTACATCACTTAAGATTTATCTGCAGAGATAGGTTGCATACAACATGGAGTTTTTAATGAAATATTGAATGTATATGTAACTATATGTATATAGGGGCATATGGTGACTCATTTCTATCTTATCTAAATCGGTGATAGAAATGTTCATGTGTTTTAAATACCACTGTCTGTTCAATGATTATATAAAACTATTATTATTTGTTACTGTGTTGATGTTTTAAATTCTGGGACATCTAGTTCCACTTGAAATTTAAGTAAAGAAATTTGACGTAACACTTAGAGAAAGGTAGTAATTTTTCTTATCACCCACATTCAAGTCGTAAATTGTAACTTCTATGAAGCTGTGAATTGTTGTAGTCAAATATAGATGCAGCATGTCTGTGGGGATCATTCATAAGGCAAAAATTTCTATGTTCCCAATGGTATAGTCTCTTATTACCAAAGTGGCCTCAAAAATTAGTAACATAAAATTAAGATTATTCCTGTTGATAACTTTCTGCATAGTGAAGTAAGTATTCAATTAAAATATTTATGGAAATTCTTTTAAAAATCCTGTCAAACCATATTTCAGGATAAAATATTAAAATTTTACATTTCATTGAGTCATATCATTTGATTTGTGTTCTTTACATTGAGTCATTTTTTATGTACAGTTGCCAACCTTGCTTAGGTATCCACTATTTGTATAGCACTTAGTACAAATAGTGGAGACTTAAGTGAGGCACAAATCCTACATAATAAACATCCATAACTAATTTGTTTTATAATATGTTACAGTGAAATATATTGGCACTTACACACTTGTCACTTTCAATGGCACTTGGATGTCTTTATCCATTAATGAATGAAGTTATGCCTGAACCAATCAATATACATATATAAAAAAAGGGTGAATAAAAATGGAAGCAAATTCATTTGCTACTCTACTAACCAGTGGACATTAAATCATGCAAAATAGCTGCACCTGTGTTGAATATTTATTTATATTAACTACATAAGAAAGGGTTTTCCTATTTAAAAAAATTCAACATCTAACTGATTATTGGAATTACAAACAACATGAATTGTATCTAATTTGAATGTAGCTTTCACATTCCATACAAATGGGTAATTAAGTGTTAATGCATTATGTTGCTGTGTAATATGGTCTATTGATAACTGTGGAGCACTAACATTGTTATTAATCTTATTCCCGTGGCCTAAAAAATAAAAACATGCAATTTAAAAGTGAACTTTACTTTTAATTAGATTGTAAATATATTTGTTTACTAAATTCTAATATTCAATTAGACAAATATGATTTTCTTATGATACTGTTGCCTATTATAAAAAAATCTTAACACAACTAATTACTATAATTTAATTTCATAATTCACTGCACTACACCAGTTCACACAGATTAGCTTCCATTGTTGTGATATTTCTAAATATATATAAATTTTTCGAAATAATTATATGTGAAAAAATTATATACATGGTGTCTTAAAAATTCCACATCAGAGGGACACTGTGAATAGATGAGCTCTACACCTACCAGAAAATAAATAATTTGACTTTAGTAAAAGTCTTTTAGTTTTCGAGATATTGGCACTTTTTATTTTTTTGGAAAAACTCTACTTTTTGTTGGGTTTTATGCTATTATTACCAGGATTAGCTCCAGATGGTTGTTATTTTTATTGTTGTGTATTTTATTACCTGGGGTAATATAAGCTGGCGACAGAGGAGTTTGTCATAAAGCTCAATAATTTAACACAATTTTGTTTAGAAAAAAATTCGGCTAGTAGGGTGTTGGTGACGAAAAAAGAATTAAATGACTAAGTTCTTGCCGAAGTGGAACAATTTTCAATATAATGTGCAAATTCAGTTTCATGCAATTTCTTTTCACACTAACTATTCAAAGTTAATGTTTCACTGTTTAAAAGCGTATAACAAATTAATAACTTTTTTCACATTTTATCATATTTCTCAGTAAAATATTAATTGCAGTACCTGGAAAAACTATTCAGAATACCCGAAAAATAAAAATAACAACCATCAAGACCTAAACCTGTAGGGCTAGCATGACGGAGCGCGACTTCCGCGAGAGCGACATACCGCGCGAGATCTCTATGCGAGAATAGCAGTACATCGCGTTTTATGTCGCTCTCGCGCTAGTCGCGCCCTGTCATGCTAACCCTTCTGGTAATAATAGCATAAAACCCAACAAAAAGTAGTTTTTCCAAAATAAAAAATGCCAATTTCTCGAAAACTAAAAGACTTTTACTAAGGTCAAATTATTTTTTAATGGTAGGTATAGAGCTTACTTTCCCACAGTGTCGCTCAGACGTGGTATTTTTGGGACACCCTGTATAAAAGAAATTTAGATTTTACAAAGTTTAAAAACTGTAAATAAACATGAAACAATTTCTGTTTCCCCAATAAAAATGTAATCAAGTGTAATGGATTTGTGGTTAGCTGTGCTTTCATGTTATTCCTTAATCATAAGCTAATGTTATAACCAAATTCTTCCCCTTTTCTGTGTTTCTGGGTGTATTTTTCCAATTGTATCAATTTTAATCAATTAATTTGTTAGGTATATTTTGTAGTCGTAAATTCCTATTAATTTGACAAAATGTCCAGTTTTTAAACTGTATTCTTTAGCATAATGGTTCTAGTTAATGACCAAAATGATACTTATGAGATAGGTAAATGATAAGAATTGTAAAAAGTTCAATTTTTTATTACAAACTGAGCACACCACACTAGATTGCTAGTATTATTAACCCAAGTGAATATAATTATGTCACTTGGAGGTACTGCTCATTGTGTTTTTATTTACTTACTGTTAAATTATGGCTCTAGATTTCTTTTACTTGACGGCATGGCAGATTATGATAAAATTAAACTATTGATACAATGTATAAGGCATGTTTAAAATACTGATGTGGAAGGAAACTAGACCGAAGTAATGACTTTCTTGATTATATTTAACCAATACTAAGGTTAATTTTAGAATTGTAAGAGATTATGCTAGTTAATTTTGTAATTTAGATGTGAGTTAATTAAACATATTCGTGAAAGTTATTTAAGGTTTAGCAAAATATGTCCAATTTTGTACACTATTTGCTTATGGAAACGATTTGACGCCACTTTACCTTATATATTACACTGTTACATTTTGAATTACTATATAATATTAAATGTATTAAATAAATACTAGAAAAATGTGTGTGATACACTGTAGTCACTGGTTTTCAAAGGTATAAATATATATAAAAATTTTAATGTTAATTAAATAAAATTTAATCTAGCTTACATTATACACTTGCAATTTGTTAGCTGTTAGTACTAGCATGGTACGTAGCCCATCCAAATCACTTGGTATCGACCCACACGCAAGTTAAAAAGGGTTGATGCTTGCAGCACATAGTGGAAGCACTATTCCCCCATTTACTTGCAATCATAGTTTTGCTGTCCCTTACTTCTATTAGCTGATGTTAGAGTATTCCTGAGTATGACCGAAAATTCAACCGCGTTGCTTCTATATGTGCGTTGCGATAATTTTGTTATGCTCTTTTGAGCAAATTATGTAAGTACTTACACAATGAAGTATGTGTTTTAATTCGAGCTGGAGATAAGTGACCAGATGGGCTAGCTGTTATGTGTATAATAGTGTTATATGATACTAGTCAACGAGTATTTATAACGACAGTGTCATGTAAAAACGATGTTATAAAATGTAATTTCACTTAATAAACTTTCAGTCGAATAAATATCTGCGTAACATAATACTTATCTATTATTGAAAAACCAACATTTTGGTTAATTTTTTCGGTTTTAATTATTATATGAGTTTGGTTTTTTTAATTATTATTTTTTTATTTTCAGGAAGCAGTATTCCAAAATACACATGAAGTAATCACAAGCTAGTCTAATGTAATTGTAAGAGAAATGAGGAACTGATTGCTTATTACCACCAACATGCACATTGTTAAAAATGTAAGCCTAAAATTAGTTTATTATAATATTGTTTCTTCACGTAAAATATTTTTATACTTACATTTATTGTGCTACTTATCTATTTTCGTTAAAAATATACTTATTTCACATTTTTTAAATTATTTTTAAATGGTTTTTTGTATTTCAAGCGCGTCTTGTTATACTGACTGAAATGTAAAATACGTTGTATAAACAGGTAGCGATTATACTTTTGTGGCTATACGGCTGTTACAACATCAACTACCTGTTTGTGTGCGCAAGACACAATGTTATCATTATTTTTTCAAAACAAATGAAATAATGATTGTCCAAACTTCAAAAGTCTTTAGTTTCGTATAAGTTGTTCAGTCGTTTAAATCACAATTATGGCGTTGATCGCCTTTGGTCTATTTCTTATTACAATCGTTAGTGGAACTATAGACGAGTATGTAGTTCCGACTGCGATATGTCCGTTTTATAAAAATGGGCCTAGTTTAGACACAAACGAATTGGTGGGAAGCTGGATGACAGTGTACACACAACCCAAAAGAGTGAAATGTTTCAATATTCACATTAGAACTATTACAGACCTGGTAATTTAATTATAGCTATTTATTTTCTTTTTTGTAAAATAAAAATCAATTTAATCGGTTCACGTTATTTAGATAATTTTAATGTGATATAATTTATGTATTATTGACAAAATCTGTATTAAAGCATGGAAATTTTAAATTACTTATCGTTTTCAATTTAAAATTCAATGGCAGTTTGAATCAATTAAATTGGAAGTTCTGAGGTATGTATTGACATTTACCTCTGCTCCGATAAAACCCGTCAATATGGATGATTGAATAAAGATTTTATGAAGTAGCAGGTAATATCGGTGAGAAATTTTAAACAACCTTTTACAGCGTTTGTACTGACGGTTGTTAAGTTTTCTGGTTGTTAATCTATATCTCTATTAGAAGAAATAGGTTTTTTTTAAATCACCCAATACGACAAGATAAGATACATATACTTGTTATTGCACTTATATTCTTAACACATCAAGGGCTTCATCACTATTGGCAGTGGATAGTAGTCGATGTACAGGGTGATTGGTAATACGATACACTGCTTTGATGGTGTTTAAAGTTAAGCCTAATTCATTCAATTACCCTTGGATACAATTCATATTTTAAAGATTTGAGTCAAGAAGTACTAAATTACAAACGATCAAAGCTCCTAAAGGTCAATTTACATTGCCACGGAACGTCATGGAAACGAATTTTTGTAACAAAATCGTACATGGTATAATGAACTTTCTGCCAATTGCCGTAAAGACTAGTAAATACAATACGGCTGCTGTGGGAATTTCCGAGACTGCGCGAGATTTCTCCGGAAGACATGCGATCTGTTTTTTTGCGTACCTATCTAATTTGCACGTTACACAATTGAATAAAGTTTATTATGCTATGGTCAGAGAATAAAGTAATAAATAATAATAAAGTAACCTTTGGTCACAAAAACCCGCTTCCGTTGACTAAGATTATGGTTAGATTTCTTTGATGTCCTTTGGCTGTTCACGATTACCATCATCAGCAACAAAAACAAAACCTGATCATGTTGATCTCAATTGTAGAAAAAAATCTATTAACGTCAAGTCAAAAGTCTACAAGATCTGCAAATTTATACAGTCGTCTAATAAAGGTCGCGCGGAATTGTTTGATTGCATTGGAGGTAGGACCACGCACCGGCTTTCGGCAAGGGAGGTTTACATTCAGCACAGGATATTTTTCAACTGATGATGACATTTACTCTAGGAGCGAGAACAATACATAGTAAAGTACGGGAACTTCAGCAACCGTGTTAACTGGAACACGTGCTTCTTGGAATTGGTTTCTTCTCAAAGGAAACATTATTTACAAGGTGACGGGACCCTCTCTGGAATGCTTGAAAACATCTTTATTTTTGAATCAACCAAAGGTGGGTATGACAGCTACGATATAGTATAAGGGAGATGCCACAAGGGCATTACGGGAGATGCCACACTGGCGTTGCTTCGTGGCAACTGCATTGTACTACATATAAGTCAGAACGACATACCACACGGTGCGTTGAAACAGCGCGCGTCGACATTGTGATTTAGATATATTTAGTACGGTCAAGAGCACGTCAAGCGTGACACCTTGAACTTTGGACCGTTCTTGTCGTAAGCGGCATAGAGTTGGATTTAAATTTTAAATGTCAAGCTTAACGTGCTCTTGATCCTGTGCAACGCAGTTGCGACGACGCAACGCCCGTGTGGCATCTCCCTACGTCGGCGTTGCGTCGTCGCAACTGCGTTTTAGTACATATAAGTCAGACGACATGCTACACGGTGCGTTGAAGCAGCACGCGTCGACGGAACAGCTCGTGTGGCATTCAGTCCGTTGAAATCAATGCAGTTGCGACGACGCAACGCCCGTGTGGCATCGTCCTAATGCCTCGGCCACGAAAATATCGCCAGGTTTGAAGCGTTATTCGCCGAGAGCGTCAATTTTAAAGCGTCAAAACTCGGCCACGAAAATATCGTCACATTTGAAGCGTTATTTGCTGAGAGCGTCAATTTTAAAGCGTCAAAATACACCCACGTTGGTAATTCGCTCTTCGGTGGTGAGAGGACTAGTTCAGTTCATTGCGATCACGAGTCATCATCACATAATAGAATTTTAATTTCTGCCCACAATTGTTTTACGACAGTCCTGATCTTATCTTGTGGATGTGAACTCATCCAAAACGCAGGCAGATCTTGTATTGCCGTTATAAATTCTTTTATATTCATAATTAAGTAAGCGAAAAGCTAATAAATTCAAAATAATTTGTTTTAAACGCTGACGCGCGGAGCGACCGCTTCGTGCACACTATGGAAGTTTCTCGTACAATTGTTCTGGTCGCCCGCGAAAAACGCGCGTCAGATCTTCCAACGCTCGCAAACCCGCTCGTAGCAAATTTCGCTGCAAGTTGCAGCGCTACTTTGTGGCTTTTTGCAAATAAAATTATATATTTGTAATGCGTTAAGGGGGATTCTTATTTCATTGTAACAAATGCTTCTGTTAGTGTTTTATAGGTAGGTATAACTTCCTTAGGCCCTACATCAAAATGTACATAATGTGTTAGAGTGGTTCAGACCCGGACAATATTATTCCAATGATTACGGAAACGCTCAGTGTCTATTATAATAAAAATTCGCATTCAGGCTATTCAAATTCGCAGGGTATCTAGAAATATAAAATGTGTCCTACAAAATTGAAAGCATATTTACTTGGGCCTGAAACGTAATTATATTTAGTACATTTAAGAGCCTATCCATTTTATACATGCCTACGACGCGCGCATATAGGCGCCGTAAACGCGCGTCATCTGCACGTATACGCGCCGCAGACGCGCTGTAGTGAATCATTTGAAACGCGCTCAAATATTGCGTTGCAAGCAAGAAGCTTATATATTTCACTGGAGACAATTTCATGTAGTTGCTTCATTTTAAAAAGTAACTGAAATAATCAAACAAAACTGAAATTAAAACTACCTCTTATTAAAATGTGCGATGCATACGAGCGGCTACAGTGCGTCGGTGGCGCGTATAAGCGCGTCGTCGACGCATATATGCGCGTCGTCGACGCATATATGCGCGTCGTCGACGCATATAAAATACGCCGTGTGCATAGACTGTTATGTGTACATTATGCGTTTAGCGCTTTTCCCATTGTAGTTTAAAGTTCAGAAGCTTTTTTTTTTTGAAGAAAAAATAGAATACGTACTTAAATAATAAAATTTGCCACGGAAATTAAGTAGATGAACACTGTCCGAGAACAACTGTATGGTGTCACTGGTTCACTCGTTGAAATTTTAAGCTGGGTTCCTAACAGTAGGTTACCTACATTTTACTGTACCAGGTAACTACAGTCTACAAGATCAATCAGCAGATCAATGGTTCTTGTACGGTCGGCGCGGGAATGAACTATTGTTAATGCGAGACTGCGCGGACGAGATTGTTGCATTATTCGCCAGGATCGCCTACTGGCCAACACCAACGGAGGTGTACGCTGTACTTCATCGCAGCGGAATACCAGCGACTGCACAGGTGCGCCAGCTCTGTACCCCGATCAATGTACCTGCCAGACAGTGTTTCCGTACCAAACCTAATTTTGTTGGATATCAACTAATCAGCAAAAATTTATACTAATCATTCGAAGAAACAGATATGGTTTATACCCATTTAGATACGTAGCTGCCTATTACGAGATAATGTACCTACACATACATATATTGCTTATCATTAATCCTCATTCTCATACTGTTCCGTAAGATCGTTAGGAACACTTATTTGCATATTAAGTACATACACTAGGGTGTGTAATAATGGTCGACATTAAAACAAATTAATGATCTATTTGCACTTGGTATAACGATATTTGATATAATTTCAAAGGAAATAATAATAGGATGTAATTAATTAGTGATATAACCACAAACGGTAGTTTCATTGTGTTTAATAAACCTAATGTAACAAATATTAGATATAATGATTAACTAACATAATGAATTCATGGTTATTAGTATTACCCGCAGCTTGATTTTGATTGCCTCTCCCGATCGGAAACTTTGACATTTCTAATCGGAATAATAGTTGAATTAACTTACAAATTAGAAAGATATAGTAGGAATCAGATTCATCTTCTCGCTCAGAAACCCATCTGATTTCGAGACTACTCGATCGTATCGATTCCGATTTGAGTCAAAATCAGGACGCTAATATAACAAATATTAGATAAAATGATTAACTAACATAATTAATTAATGGTTACTAGTATTACCAGTATAATGTATTATAGAACAGGGGGTCTACTCTCGATCTCCGTCCGACATCTGTCCGAAACAATTACTGCCAAATAAGCAATACTTGACCAAATGAAGACGCGTGATGCGAATGAAACTTCATACTTGATACTTGTCTTTTAATTTTGTCGAATATTACTTATTTGAAAGTAATTGTTTCGGACGGAGCTCGAGAGTAGACCCCCTGGAGTAAACCCCCAGTGCCCGAAACGTTAGTTTGTTTGAAAAAACAAATATACGCGATCCGTAAAAGTAGTTACATTTCGTGTATAATAATCGTGAAAACCTAAGAACTCGAAATATAATACAATATTAATACAATAGTATTACAATAGTAATACAATAGTAATACAATAGTAATATTAAATATTTTAACCTAGAGCTTAATTGCCATAGCTCTAGCATAGCTACAAAGTTCTATTCAATATTTCTTACAAAAGTTTGTAGTTTTTTTAACACCAATGAGCACTTTACAGCGGTTACACACGGCGACTTTAACGGCGATGTGAACGCGATGCACGCAAACGACTGAATCGATACAAACGCGCGATTGCATCGCTCGCTGGGATTCATCGATGCAATCGCCTATAAATCGCAAGTGTAGCGATGCAATCGAGCGTCTTACGAGCGTTTCTTTTGCATTAAAGAATATTTATAGAGAAAAAATTTTCAGAATTGCCTATGGGATGTATTGAGTACATAGGTATGTTTTTATGCTAGATAACCGAGGTAGACGGTGGGATTGATGTGAGTGACGACCAGGCTCCTGACCAAGAAGAATCGTCGATCGAGCAAGGGCACACAACATAGTGAAGCCCTTGTGCAGACTTCAGAGGAACAAATATGTTTTAAAGGTGGTCTAGAAGTAAGTTATAAAGCTGTATAAATAAATTACAATCGTTATGTCTCCGAAACGTAATGAAAATTATCTTTTATCCAGCAGTATCAACTCCGCGAAATCAAAACAATACGATACAAGGAATTTCTAGATGTGGTTGTTTTCTACAGAAGACATTACCATAAGTAAACTTAATAGTGTCCTATGCATGTGCTAGGTCCCGTCTCACTATAGACTGGGTGGTTCATTTAATGCATCAGCGCGATTCTGGTGCAGGTGACCACTTAACTGTCCGCTGCCTTGGTTGAACTTAAATATCGTGAGACAACCCGTGTGTGGTTCTCGCTGTACGCAGAGAACGCCATAAAGTGGTCATGCATTATGAACATTAGCTGCCGAAACTATGTATTAAATGTGTTGCAATTTTATTTTTGTCTATTATAATCAATCGCAATTTTTTGCTGCAATGCGTAAAGTCCGATCAACATGCGGTGATCCGCTCGCAGCTACCTACGCGGCGTAAGTGAAATATGATGTTCTTTTGTGATGTTAGGCAAGATTTTGAAGTTATTTTTATTCGCAATTGATTTTATTATTTTTTTATAGTTAAATCCTTACACTTTATTAAAGAAATAATCCTTAAAGAGGTGGTGAATTTTATTTACACCTACCTAACTTATTTACTTTTTTGTAGGTCACAACTTATGTATGCGCGCACACTTATACATATTTGATAGTCTAAAGGGCAATTTCCTGGACCATAAATATTCTAATACCACGTTTATTGCTGCCAACACGACAACAACACTTTAGATTTTCAAAACGTTCATGTAATCTTACGCTGAACCTACTATACATTATCAACATATCGAATAACAAGCGTATCGTTTTTCATGAATGTTTTTCATCAAATCATATTTTTGGGGGCGGCACAACGTATGACATTGTTAGCCACATTTATCTAGGCCACTCATACTCGTCTATCATACCGTACAATAACAGCAGCCATGGATTGTCGTCTCATTACAGGGATTTTATATCTTTTACTTCATGTGCTCTTAGTCATCGCAGACACATGTCCCCCTGACCGTGATCAGGAAGTGCTCCACGACGAAGGAAAACTACACAAAGACTTATTATGCGCCTATCACTCTGATTACCGGCCAGTGAAAGACCACAAAACAACAATCACCGTCAAAATTCGCTTTGATCTCAAATACATCAACTTCGATGCGCTCGAAGAGACATTCACAGTGCACAGTTGGGTGGCAATGATGTGGAAAGACGAGTTCTTGTCATGGACACCCAGTAATTACGGAGGTATAGAAGAACTCCAGATTGAGAGTCACGAAATATGGACACCAAGAATGGCTCTTTTTAACGCCGATGCTACACTCTACCAATCAGATACAATTTACACAACGTGCTTAGTAACTCAAGACGGTACTGTTACCTGCGTACCACATATAGCCCATTCGGGAGTCTGTCGATCTTCTTTGCGCAGTTGGCCTTACGATTCACAGAACTGTACACTCTACTTCGGCTCGTGGATGCACACAGGAGAGCAAGTTAATTACACTTTCTATAAAAGCCAACCAGTTTCAACAACTGATTACCAAGATGGACCCGGCTGGAAGTTGCTAAATGTCGCCAACGAACGCCTGAGCGGAAAATATCGCGAAAATACAACATATCCGATGCTAAAGTATACTTTTGTGATGAAACGTGAGGCTGCGGGACCTGCGGCCATAGTTGTGGCTCCAGCAATCGTGATTGTGTTGCTGACACTAACCTCTTTATTGCTTGACATTAAGGACAATATCAGATTAATGCTAGCTTGCTTTAGCCTTTTTGGACACTTCACGATTCTATCGCAAGTCGCATTTGAAATTCCTAAACATAGTTCGGATACACCAATAGTTTTGCTCTTTTTGCGTGATTCAATGATAATAACTCTGATGGCTATATTGGTGACCTTGTTCTTGATGTTTTTAAGAAGGCGAGTGGTTCCTGCGCCTACGTGGGTGATTTCTATAACTCGGCTTGTATCTAACGGTCCGGGCAGGTACGTAATGTTTACGGAGTTCGACCCAAGTGATACCTCGGATAAGAAAGGTCTTGCAGAAGTCGGCACGAGCACTGAAGCAAGTGACGAAGATCGCTCCCGTATTACTGGTGACTGGATGCAATTTGCAACTTTGCTGAACAGTTTCGCATTTGCTATTTCGGTTTTGATCTATTTAATTTTAATATTTGCGTACATTCCTTACGATTAAATTTATGCAAGTGATGGTATATAAATCGGTACTTACTGCATGTCGTATTTTACAATACAAGTTCTCGGATCAGAATAATAAATGCTGTGGTTCTAAAATTAAATAAAATACTCTTATAATGGACTTAAATTTAATTTTAAAAATCACTTTAAAAGCTAAGTTTACCGCTACTTAGCGCTTAGTAACTTTACGTACCAATCCAAAGAAAACACTATAAAAAATATACAATTTAGTATAAGCAAAATTATACTTAAGCGTATTGTAAGTAAACAAGAATAAAGACATTTTATAAAACATATTTTATTACGGGTAGTATTTAGGCATATCCCCATTTTATGGAGCAAAATATTCAAGAATAGTAACGAAAATATTAATTGCACACTAATGTACGTACTACAACAAATCAAACTTAGTATGTAATAGGTATACTGATTAATGCATCAAGCCAAAATGTTATATTATGAAGTGATTATCTGATATCTGAAAGTAAATCCCGTAATTATTAACTTGTTACAAAAATTTAAACTCAATTTTATTGGAACCAAGCACCTTATTAAACTTTTAGAAACATTTTTTATTTTTGCAATTTTCGTTTTTATTGAATATCATGGTGTTTTACTGTCATAATATTTTTTGTGAAAATAATTCTAGTTTGTTATTATTTTTGATACCAAGATCGCACAAACACAAAGATAAATTTTCTCAATCCAACTGCCTACTTTTTCTGTTTGTTTCAAGTATTTACTAAATTGAATATTTAGCTTATGTTGAAAAACCCAGCTCGGAAACGCAAATAAATTCTGTTCTTGGGGTTTATTCACGTTGTCCGTCCGACACCGTCCGAAATAATTAAGTACTGTCAAATAAGTAACACTCGACCATATTAAAAGACGCATAATCCGAATGAAACTTCATACCCGATGTTGTCTTTTAATTTGGTCGAATATTAATTATTTGTCAGTAATTGTTTCAGACAGTGAACGGGATTAGACCCCCTTGGCACTCGCCGGCCGCTGCCGCGACACAATATCGTGTAAAAATTCCATTGTAAGATTTTATTTTACTGTTGTATTATAGTATATTTTTGTTATAAAAAACTTATTTCTATTTTATCAGCCAGACTTTTGTTGTGAACTAGGTAAAAAGCGTCATATAATTTTGATAAGTTTTAAAATTTTGTTGGTACATGTTTTGAGGAATAAAAGGTCTATTCGTAGTGTAGTCATTTATTTAGTATACAGTAAGTTAATCAGTGGTTACACTTCGTGTGCTTAATTATTTTATTTGAGATTTACCAAAATTTGATTACTTTAACACAAATAAATTGTGTATGTAACATAATGATATGGTTTGTGTATAGCATAAGCTAGGAACATCTTAAAACTAAACGTATCAACAGTTACAGACAAATACCACTTGCAATTCTAAAAAGACTATAAAATTTTCAACATGGTTTAACATCAAGTACTTAATAGAAAAATGACCAATAGCAACAACCAAAAGTATAAATAAAAATAAGTATAAAAATACATTTGGTTTACTACAAAAAGCTCACAACTATAAGAGTAAATACTTATTGAGTAAATAAGCTAACTGTAAACAAAAAAAGGAAAAATAAACAAAACAATGTACCTATATTTGATTAATTGAGAGTAATTACTACGGAACGTATCCTGCTAAATAAGTCAGTGTGAAATTATATTCTGAGCGGCAGTTGATTGTCGGATGTCTCAGGGTGACAGGCGCAGCCGCAGTGCCCCTCCGATCTTTGCATTTTAAAGCTCTGAGTAGCACTGCAACTGTTACAGACCGGCGTGTCGTTTACTACCAGGCCCACAACTTGTTTGTCCTATCACTTGTACAGGTACACTTGTACATTTAAACGAAAAGCACTTTAAAAAGTTTGCTTTTTAAAATAAACACATAAGCACGCTTTTCAATTTAAGCGTAAGCGTTAACGTACTTATGTTTCAAGTCCGGCCATCTATGTTTCCTAAATAAATTAATTCGTCAATGTGAATAATAATTTTATACATAAAAATAAAACTCGTATTTTACAAATAAACTTACTTATCTTAAAACCTTTATTGGTCTACTCTTGCTTTTCGCTATCACACAATGTTGCAAGCTTTTTTAACATAAAAGTCTATGCGCTACGTTTTTCTAATACGTTTTCCTAAACTGTAACAACATTGTAAACTTCAAACTAAGAAACGTTTAAGTGAAAAGCGTTTAGAAAAGCACGCTTTTTTAAAAACAACACAACGTTTAAACGTTTAAAAACTAAGAACTTTTTCCCATCTCTAGTCACTTGGTATCCAAAAAAACCCTTTTATTACTTCGAATCAAATAATCTTGTTTACATCATTCATACAGCGAGTTTCGTAAATGTTAAAGTGTTACAAAATACAATTATGTAGACCTAAAGCACGAAATTGCCGTTAGCAATTGTAAAATTTTTCCAGCGCAGGAAAAACGCATAAGGCCGGTTCATGGCCAATTCTAGTTCTGTTGGCTCAGCCCATTCTATACCTGTAAAAAGAATTAATAGGTAGATGTTCACTTTATTGCTCACACGCAAGCACAAAAACGGTGCATAAACAACTCATAAGTAATGCGGGCAAAGGCGGCCTTATCGCTAAGAACGCTCTCTTCCAAAGAACCTTTGAGGCAGAAGAGAATTTAACAGAGTGGATGACGTAGTGTGCCAATGATAAATTTCTAAATATACCTACAAATAAAATCCTTTGTAATATAATTATCACTTTAATTTCTAAGTTCATTGATAAATGCTACCAAAACAAAATGCCATCCATGCAATGGCATGTCATGGCATGTGTTTTTATTCTGAATCGTATCCAAACGTGCCAAAATGTCAATCTAAAAATAAAAATCCTTTCCCAAAGATTTATCTTCGTATTTATTTAGTTTTTTCACTGTTTGTCATTTTTAGTCAAAAATTAAAGAGACAAAACTATAAATCAAACTCAAACTCAAACTCAAAATAATCTTTATTTCATAGGTAAGCATTATTACACTTGAAATCGTCACAATGGTTAAACTCTACCGCTCATTCGTAAGGCAGATTCCCCTGAGAAGAATGAGCAAGAAACTCTAGGGGTTGCTCTTTGTAAATAGCATTTACAATATTTTTTTATTTTTATTTGAAACATCAGAGATCGAGACTACCTCCATGAGCTAAACGGGTTACTACCACGGATTTTTGTCATCCAAGTACGCAGAAGTTGTATAATAACCTTTAGTATAAAGTTTTTGTTTCACTATAGTTTTAAACCTCAATCAAACACTATAGTTTTAAACCAAAATCAGGCTAGAGAATTGACAGTATTTATCATAGTACAATAATTGTATTATGATAAATACTGTCCAGCCTAGGCGCCTTGACGGCGAGTTGCGGACACGAGCCCGTTACACCAAGTACCAAGTACTGTCCAGCACCCGGGGTAGTACCTACTAAAGAAATATCCTTAACATCACAAATACGTTGACTCTGTCGACTTCTGTGCTTATGATTGCGTTGGCTCTTTTCTTCCTAGCCTTTAATACGAAACACAGCAATACTGTTTTGCGTTACAAATAAGTATCCTTCTTCTTTTTAATTATTGGCGCTTCTTTAGAATTTAGGATTGTCCTTTTAGGATTTTCCCAAAAATATTTTTTTTTATTTTTTTTTTATTCATATAATATTATCAACAAGCTGACGCTTTATAAATAAAAATAAAAATGATTTATTTTGGCTGGTTAGTTTCACAACTTAGTACGTATGTTAGTAAGAAATAGCAAAGATAAAATAAAAAGACAGTACACTTTTTCGAATATGTAGCTCGATATATCGATTGAAAATTACCGTGTCAGTGCGGTCGGCAATCATCTTAAGGATACCGTTGGCGCTCCCCCATATACGACGTATTGATGCAGTCTTTTTGTGTAGTATGCAGGGTTGCCAATTTGTGTAGAATTCCCCAAATTGCGGGGAATTTCAACTAGATTGAGGATTTTGTGGGGATTGGCGCTATGTGGGGAAAATGCGGGTATTCTAACATTTTATGATTTTGTTTAATCTATCGATTGCTTGCATCGATGCATCGCTGGTTTGATCGTTATTGTTAGAAACACTGTGATGAACTATATCGATGTGTTTTTCATTTCACTCCCTCCCATTTCACATATCTCGCATTATTAACAAGCAGCTTGAATAGAATTATTATCAGATCGTCTTGGTTCTGAATTGTAAAATGGGAACTATTTAAGTGCATATTAGAAAACTCAATACATATAAAATTATGTTCATTATTCAAATAACTTGCACATCTAAAAAAATATTTCAGTACAAATAGAACAACTGTCTAACAAAACTAGTATCAAGAATAATTTAAAAACATATATCAAAAGTAAACCCCTGCCAATTTCTCAGTGTACAATAACTCTAAACGAAATAAAAATTGTTTTAACAAATTTACCGTATTTTTTCTCAAACGTTTCTCCATAAATTATCTTCGTTTATAAAATGAATCGCGTACAACAAATATTATATTTGGAGCTGATTTTCTTGTTAGCAATTCATAATATTGGAACTAAATTGAACCTTTACTTGCAAATACAAAAAAATACGGCTATTTTCAAGCAATAGACTTTGTGACAATGTTTGTGTTCAATTTTTTTTTTTGTTGATTTTATTGTTTTGGACTAATTGTACAATTAGACCATAATGTCATATAAAATAGTGTTTCATTCCGATAGACTGATGTACCTTTCAGTGAAATATGTATGTTTTTTCTCTTAAATTTGTGGTCATACGTTTGTTGTATGCCAGAAATATTAGATACCTATGTATTTAGATGTTAGATATGCATTGTGATGAAATGTTATGCTTTAATTTTTGTACATAATGTTAAATTAATTTCCTTTTGATGTACATATTTTGATGTTCAATTGGTACTTTTGTTGGGGAAGTGGCATATTTGGTTGTGAAAAAACTTGCTTTTTTGGTAAGCGGTTAAATACTTACCTTATAAAATTACCAGTCGGTGCGTGTTATGTGCGCAATCCTTTCTCCCACTTAGGCCCGTCCCCGGTATGAAGAAAAACGAAGTCAGCTATTGATAAACAAAGCCGAGCAGTTGGTACTTCCACACCACAACTTACCACTCGGCACTAGTCAACTTTAAATATTAAATAAAGGTCGAAACTTAATTTACTCATTGATTTTTTTCTAAAGGCCCATTTAGATGGAGAGAGTTTATCGTCTCGAAGATACGATTATCGAAAGAATATAAAAAACTTTCCTCGTCTAAACATTTGCGATTATCGACCGTCCACGTGAGCGATAATCGCCTCTACTTTCAATATTGAACGTTTCCGTGTAAACAGAACTCGAAAGCAAAAATCGTATTTCGAGTTTCTGTGCCAGCCGTTTCTACCACGAGTGCAGTGCGCGAGGGTGTTTTGATTATCACTGCTTTTCTAAGACAAGAATTAATGAAACGAGAACGAAAAAAAATTTGGATTAAGAAATATTATAAAATTTGAAAAAAATAAATAAATAAATAAATAAATGTATATTTCTCTACAATGCAATGAACTTAATAATAGGGGTTAAAGTATGAAATTGCCGATTTGTACTGAAAATCTAAATTGTTTATTTTTTAAATTTTTTTAAAGTCGAAATTTCCATCACGAAAGCGTTTAAACCAAAATCGCAC